AATGGGAGCTAGCCTGAAGTTGTAGGAACCGAGTGTAAGTTGCATGAGTTGCAGCCTGTGATCATTGTAAAATGGAAACTAATGATAGGAAATGCATGTAATTGTCACGCCCCGAGCCCGCACGTGCCCGTCACATGACATCCGCCGTACTCCCAAGTCTCACTCAAGAATACAAGGCTACATTAACTAATTTAACCTTAACAACACTAAATAATTCAACTAAATAAAGTGTGGTACGAATTACATATAAAATAAAGTCTACGAATATTCAAGACGTTCATACATTTATTCTCTGATTGAAACAGTGGGAACCAAAGTAAATAAGACTAACAACTAGAAGTAGCTAGCTCGCCAACATCTATTCATCTAAAATTAATAAAAGTCATCCTCAGGGTCTTCTACGTAAACCAACTCATACTCTTCAGAATCTGCAAAATGGTAAAAAGTGGGTTGAGCGACAAATCGCCCAGTAGGTAATATCTACCCCTCTGTTGGACCATGTACTCGTGACTTTATAAATATATATCAAATCCTTTGCACATAAATCACTTCTATAATTTTGAAAGTAACGACATTTATAAAACAATCAGTAGTAAAGAATGACAAGGAATTTAAAAGCACTTTATTGATAACCATACACGAGAAACCGCAGTGTCATAAATCACTTTGTAATAATTCATAAGTCCCTTCATATCCATTCATGAATCATCCCATAAAATGTCGCATATCCGTTCATAGATCATTTCAAAGCAGTTCATAGGAAAAATGGCCAATTTAGTCCCTATACTTTTTTTTTACTGTCAATTTAGTCCTTACATAATTTTTTTGGCCAATTTAATTCCTATACTTATTATCGGTTCCAATTGAGGAACTCTGCGGCAGCGCCACCATATAATTTCGATCAAACGTCTAATTGAGCACTTAAGCAGGGGTATTTTGGGTACTTCACTGCCGGGCTCCTTCTCAGAAGTAAAAAACAAAACCAAAAGTTACCAAAATGGTTCAATCTAAATAACAATAGCAGTAATGCGAAAATGGTAACAAAAATAAAATAATCGTAAACAATAAAAGTCGTCAATGGTTGCTAGCTAAATCTAATACAAGAAAGCCAAGGCAATCGACAAGAAAGTGAATAGCAACGCTGCTACTGCAAAAGATGGAGCAGAGTTTGGTGGAGGAGGAGCTGAGACACCAGCTGGAGAACCAGACGGAGATGGAGTGGTAGAGCCCGAAGGTGACGTGCTAGAAGAGCTAGAGGGTGGTGGGGTGGAAGAGCTGGAAGGTGGGGTTGCGCCGGTCGATGAAGGAGCAGGAGCACCGGTCGACAGTGAAAATGTCTCAATTCCGATGAGCATCCCTCCCTACTTCTGCAGTAGTTTAAGAATCCCCTCAATTCTCATTGACTGAGTAATATACTCAAGAAATTTCGTACTTCGAATTAAGTGATGCGAAATGTGGGTTCTGCTACCGTTGTGGACATTTATAACCTGTTGTCTCCTTTAGAAATAATTCTCTTTTTTCTTTTTTCCCTTAAATAGTCTTCTGCTTTCTTAATATTTATGGAATGTGAACATTGCATGTTCTAGTGGGCTCAATGCCGAAATCATTTGATACCAATCATCTTAAAGTTGTTGTTTCCTTCCACTGGTCATCCAGTTTTTGTTTGCTATGTAGCAAAGCACCGAAAATTTCTTATTGCCCATAGCCTCAGAGGCAAGACCGGATGGAGGCCTGGTGGGGGCCGGAGTTGGTGATGGAGTGGCAGCAGTTCCAGTGATGTTGATGGCTAGCTTTTGGCCGAGTGAGTAGTGTCGAGGGAAGGTGCATATGTAGAAATGTTGACCTGGGTTGGTCAGGGTAATTCCGGTTGGACGTGTGTTCATTATGGTTCCGGTGGCAGAGGTGTTGCCGGAATCATAGGTTGACTTTGATGTCCAGTTGTAAAGTTGAACGCTGCATTATTAATGCAATATTGCGAAATAGATACATGTCAGTAACCAACAGAAAATTTCTTGCAAGATTTCAGTCGATTTCAGTCGGTTTTTGCAAGAAAAGATTGAGGTTTTAGGTTTGGGTTTTTTTCAGTGGTGGTGCGCCGGTAACTTTTGGTTTTGTTTTTTACTTCTGAGAAGGAGCCCCAGCAGTGAAGTACCCAAAATACCCCTGCTTAAGTGCTCAATTAGACATTTGATCGAAATTATAAGGTGGCGCCGCCGCGGAGTTCCTCAATTGGAACCGATAATAAGTATAGGGATTAAATTGGCCAAAAAAATTATGTAAGGACTAAATTGACATTAAAAAAAAGTATAGGGACTAAATTGGCCATTTTCCCCAGTTTATAAATCATTTCATATCTGTTCATAAACCGTCTTTCAGTTCAGCTCATAACAAGTACATGCAATGACCGGCTACTGAGTACTCAGCCTAGAGATTTTACCCCCTCTAGGTGGGCGACCAATAGGTTTCATGACTACCGATTGGTCTCATTTCATACATGGATCAATTGGCCGGACTTTATACCAGGCTACCCTGACCTTGTCAATCGATTGAGCTTTATACCAGGCTACCATGACTTTGTCAATCGGTCAATCGGCTGGGCTTTATACCAGGCTATCATGACTTTGTCAATCGGCTGGGCTTTATACCAGACTACCATGACCTTGCCAATCGGCTGGGCTTTATACTAGGCTACCATGGCGGTTAGATAGGACTATAGCCCCTATCGTCTATTCCATGACTGCTCTGAGCTTTACTTGTCAAAATCCATTTCATATACCGTATACATAACTCTTTGCTTTCATAAAAGATTCAACTCATTTTGTATATAAGAACATATCCAAACATTTCAAATAAGTCACATGGTCCATTGTTGTATAGTAAAATATAACTTTCATAAATATCCAAGTAAAGCATTTAATCAAACACCTTTCGAGTCAACTCAACAAAATCGGATTGAAAACAAGAATTTCGTTTTGCACATTTGAAATCTCAGAAGGGTAAGTACCACCTACCTCTGTTTGGCTGCTCGAGCGGAACTATCTTAAATCCCTGTACCGTACCTATCAAATGCATGAGTTCCCTAATTAGTTGTTACTTCCTATAGATGCATAAATATACAACCTCTAAATAAGTACAAGATTCATATCTAGACCATTGTATGGACCCCTAATAGCATTTCCCTCCAATCGGATGATTTCTATTTTTTTGGAAAGTTTCCTAATTTAGAAAGTTTCTATTTTTAGAAAGTTTCTTAATTTGGAAAGTGTTCATTTTGTAAAGTTTCCTAATTTAGAAGAAAATAATTATTCACAATCCTGTTTATTATCCTCACTACTATCTTACTATATTTATTTATAATTTATGATTATCCATTATTATTATCACCATCCTCGTCGTCGCTAATTTATTTTATTATCACTTATATATATATTAGATAGTTACTATTACCTTCCCCTTTATTTCCACTTTTAGGCGTGTGTAGGTGTTATTATTATTTGTATATACATGCACCCATACACACATATATATATTGACTTACTATAATTGTCTTAGTTTATTCCACTCGTATCTACATTTTTATCTCTGTCTATATCCTCCATTTACTTCCTCCATGTCCATATTGTGATTGTCCCTACTATTATGGTTTATTAATTATAATCCACCCTTATTATTGTTATTATTATTATTATCATTATTATTATTATTACTATTTTGCATGCCAAGAAATTCGGACGTGCATGAGCGGCAACCCTGGGCATGCGATGGTGGCTGGCGGCTCCTCCACGGTGGCGCTGCAGCCCTTGGCGGATGGGGGTCCTTGCTCCCCAAGTGCGACAAAATCTTTCGCACAGCTATTCTCGCAGCCTGTCGAATCTCCAATCCAGGTGAAGCCAACAACAAAATACAAGGGTGAGGCAGCTGTTGTATTCTCCAAAGCAGAGGCAGACAAGCTAGCAACTCCTTTTCGCGGGGCTCTGGTGGGAAAATTCTCGTACGGGTGGCCTAGCTTGGAAGGGATTCGTAAGTTCTTCTCCTTCTTAAACCTGAGGGATCAAGTATCCATTAGGCTCCTGGATTATAGACATGTTCTTCTGAAGTGTTCTGCCGAACAAGATTTTAACCGTATCTGGACTCGTGGGATATGGCAACTGGGGAAATATCCTATGCGAATTTTCCGTTGGACTAGGGAATTCCATGTGAAGAAGGAGTCAGCCTTGGTACCAGTTTGGGCATCTCTGCCGGCCCTTCCTGTTCACTACTTTGACAAACATTCGCTATTCTCTATTTTAGCACCAGTTGGGAAACCACTCTTCCTGGATTCGGCAACGGCAGCGGGCACGAGGCCGAGCGTAGCAAGGGTGTGTGTAGAGGTAGACTTGTTGAAACCAATCTGTTCGCGGGTATGGGTGGCTGTTGAAGGAGAGGGAGGTTTTTGGCAAAATATAGTGTTGGAGAACACACCTAAGTACTGCAGCGCCTGCTGGAGATTGGGCCATTCGGTGGAGAAATGCAAGAAGGATACGCACAATGGTGTTGGGGCTTTGCTTAAGGGCAAACAAGCTCAAGTCGTAAAGCAGCGTGAAGCTACTGAGGCTGTCGAGGAGGCCAAGGGAGGTGCAACGACGCCTGGGGAGATTGGGGATTCAACACGAGCAGCGTTGATGGTGGGGCAGTCTTCAAGCCTTGCTGGTGATGGAGGCAAAAGTCAGGCGGACACGGCTGTGGCAGCGGCGACGACGGACCCTGCGCAGCAGCCTGCTCGTTCGCTTGTTGCTGATGCGACATTGACACGGCTGCAGATCGCTGGGCAGGTCGATAGCGCACCAGATTGGGATCGACCCATAGCTCCTTTTACTACAGATGGAGCCTTGACGGAGCAGGAGGAGGCTGGGGTGGAGGGCATGTGATCCAACGCCTTTTGTGGGCAACTACGGGAGAGTGGGCAGGATGCTACAGCTGCTGGGCAGGAGGGCCAGGTTGCATGTGATGGAAAGGAGGGGATGTTGGAAGGGGAGCAAGGGGTCCGCGATACACAGCAGGCTGCCACGGGGCAGCTGATTCTGCTGCACAACAGCGAGCTGGGGAGTTTGGTTGTCCATTTGAGTGGGAGGGAGGAGGTGCCTCACGATGAACAAGGGGACATCGACATTGAGTTATCGACTGTGGCAGGGAATCTATCCCCACGGCTGGTCGATCGACAACAGAGGGTGGGGGAGTCAGCGGTGGTGGCTTTGAACATTGACCAATCTCAGGCAGTTGAGAGAGAATCCAAGCAAGCGAGAGGGAAGGGTGTGCGCGCTCGTATTCCCTCTGACAGACAGCTTCGGTCCGCGACATCTTCCCATAACTCCTTTCAGGTATTATCTCATGATTAATGGCATCTTTTGGAATATTAGAGGGGTGGCTAAAGCCCCTAATCTGAGACGATTGATTAAATTAGTGAAGTCTCATCAGGCTAAGTCGTTGCAATATGTGAGTCCAAACTAGATGTGTCTAGAATTGAGTCCATTCGATTACGTTTACATTTTGATTTTGTGCTTGTGAATTGCTCGGGAGATATTAGGGTGTTCTACAATAGTCCTTTCGTGTGTTCCATGATTGGTAATTCGGGTCAACATTTATCTCTTTCTGTGCAATCTCCGTTGATGCCGGGGTCAATTATAATGTCTTTCGTTCATGCACAGTGCTCCGTGGAGGAGCGGAGAGAACTTTGGAGCAACCTAGTAGCGGATAAGCTTAGCTCTCTGCCATGGTGCATTGGGGGGGATTTTAATGTCATAATGGCTCCTCATGAAAAACGGGGAGGCAGACCGTTTGCTGTAACTGAGGGGGTGGAGTTTATGTCCTTCTTGGAGGAGGCTGGGGTTTTTGATGTGGGCTTTTCAGGGCCTAGCTTCACGTGATGTAATAATCGGAGAGGTAGAGCTAAAGTTTCAAAGAGATTGGACAGGCTGTTAGTCAATGGGAAATGTTTGGATTTCTCTGCAGCCATCTCTGTGGTTCACTTGGCGAGACATCCCTCGGACCATGCGCCGTTGAAGATTTCGTTTGCTTCTCGGATTGACAATAAGCCAAGGTCTTTCCGATTCTTGAATGTCTGGAGGACTAAACCGGACCTTTTGGAGGTGATTAGACATGCCTGGGGTCAAGAAACAAGTGGTTCTCCACTGCGTGTTTTGTGCTCTAAATTATTGGCGACGAGGAGGGCTATTCAGGTCTGGAACAAGCAATGTTTTGGAAATGTGTTCGATGCTGTTCGTGAGGCGGAGCAGGCGGTACAAAGGGCTGAGGAGGCTGTGGATCATGATGATTCGGAAGCGGGTCAAGTTGAACTCAGGAAGGCTCAAGCGAAGCTACGTTATGCTTTGTCTATTGAAGAGCAGTATTGGAGTCAAAAGGCACGAGTTAAATGGCTTCGAAGTGGAGATCATAATTCGAGGTATTTTCATGCGGTGGTAAGGCAGAGACGGGCCCAAGGGATGATACATCAAATAAAGAAGTCCAACGGTGATTGGGTGGATACGGATGCTGAGATAGCAAGTGAGGCAATCACGTACTTTTCTAATCTTTTTGCTGGACCGTTGGAGGCTACTTCCGATATGTTGCACCTCATTCCACCCTTGATTACAGCGGAGGATAATCGCATGTTTGAGGCAGTTCCTACTATAGAGGAGGTGCATCAAGTTGTAAGGGCAATGGATGGGGATAGTGCAGCGGGCCCTGATGGATTCACAGAACTACCTCGCTTCATCACCTCTACCTCGATCGTGCTGGTTCCTAAAGTCTCGAATCCTCAGGATCTCTCTCAATTTAGACCGATTAGTCTGTGTAACTTCTTTAACAAGTTGTTATCCAGAATCTTGGCTGATAGAGTGACTAGTGTCTTGCCAAGGATTATTTCCCCTAAGCAGTCAGGGTTTGTTAAGGGCCGCAATATATCGGAGAATTACCTACTAGCTCAAGAGATGGTGTCGGGTATTAGGAAAAAAGTTAGGGGTGGCAACATCGTTCTGAAGCTAGACATGTCCAAAGCTTATGGCAGGGTATCTTGGTTGCATATTATTGGGGTCTTGCGGAGGTTTGGCTTTGGGGAGCGTTTCATAGATAGGGTATGGTGGCTATTGTCTAATGTTTGGTTTTCGGTAATTATCAATGGGTCTTCGCACGGATTCTTTAAGTCTATGAGAGGGTTACGTCAGGGTGACCCATTGTCGCCGGCATTATTTATTATAGGGGCCGAGGTCTTGTCGAGAGGCTTAAATGCCCTCATGGTGCAATTGGGTTTCTTGGGGTTTAAAGTTCCATATGGCTGCCCCTCTATAACTCATTTGGCATTTGCGGATGATGTGCTTATTTTTGCGAATGGGTCCTCCTCCTCTCTGAAGGACATTATGCAGGTGTTGGAGATATATCAACGGTGCTCAGGCCAGTTGATAAGTGCTCAAAAAAGTGGGTACTTGGTTCATCCGTCTTTGTCCCTGGCTAGAAGAAGGGTGATTGAACGTGTCACGGGGTTTACTTGGCAGCCTTTTCCTATCCGCTATCTAGGGTTTCCGCTTTACTTTGGGAGGTGTAAATCTTCATATTATGGAGCAGTGTGTCAGTCTATCCTTGGACGGGTCTTGTCATGGAAATCGAAGTTTTTGTCTGCAGGGGGCAAGATGGTTTTAATCAAGCATGTGTGGTCGTCAATGCCAGTACCTTTGCTATCCGCTGCTGTGATTCCTACCTCGGTTTTTAAATCCATAGAGCAGGTTTGCTCGAATTTTTTGTGGGGGTCAACGGCCGAGGAGTCGAAGTTTCACTGGATACGGTGGACTCAACTGTGTTACCCGGTTGAGGAGGGTGGGGTAGGGTTTCGGAGGCTAAGGGACGTCTACACAGCTTTCTCGTGTAAACTATGGTGGAGTTTCCGCACGGGAACGTCACTGTGGACTGCTTTCATGCATGCTAAATATTGCAGAATGGTCCATCCTTGTCAAGCAGAGATGAGGTTGACGGATTCGGCGGTCTGGAGGCATATGTTGAACGTGAGGCGACACGTGGAACTTTCCATGGTATGGTTAGTCAATGACGGGTCGTGTCACTTTTGGTACGATAACTGGCTAGGCAGCGGCGCCTTATTTCTTAGAGCACCAGTTGATCTGTCTCTCTCATTTTGTAATTTTATTACCAATGGGCACTGGGATGCAAGTTTTCTGTTTCGAACCTTGCCAGGGGACATTGTCCCCTCCATCTTACAGTACCCGGTCCCTGATGGAGGGTGTGCAGATGAAGTCATTTGGGTGCCATCGACGTTTGGTACATTCACATTAGCATCTGCTTTTCGAGACGTCCGACAGGCCCGTAACACGTCGGTGGTTTTCTCTAAGGTTTGGCATCCTCGCCTCCCTTTGAAAGTGTCATTCTATATGTTGCGTCTATTGGTGGAGAGGCTGCCACTGCCGGATGCTTTATGCATACTTGGGTTCCATTTGCCTTCTAAATGTTTTTGCTGTCATGGTGCGTCTGAGGAATCTATTGAGCATGTGTTTGCCAGTGGTCACGTAGCGTCAGAGGTCTGGTCTTATTTTGGAGGTTTGTACGGTTTGAACTCCCCGGGCTCTTCACTGCGAGCTCGCATAGTCGCATGGTGGTTACGGTCACAAGATTTTGCGACTCGGCGTTTTGTTTGTCTTATCCTTCCAAGTTTTATCTGTTGACATATTTGGAAGGCTAGAAATAAAGCAGTGTTTGAGGGGGAACAGATGCGGTCTACTGTCATTTGTCAATCCATCTTCTCGGAAGTCAAGTCCATTGTGGAGATCCACTTCAAACAAAAGCTTGGGGTGCAAACATTCTGTCAGTTGTTTGATTGGTCGAATTTGACTACCAGGGTATTTGACTTTAAACTTGTTCGCTGGGAGGCGAAGCCGATGGGGGGTCTGGTGCTTAATACGGATGGTTGTTCCAAAGGTAATCCAGGTGTGGGTGGAGGTGGAGGGGTTCTTCGGGATTCAACTGGGATGCCTCTGGTTGTGTTTTCGGTTTTCTTTGGGGAAACTACTTGTCTTCGCGCGGAGACGTTAGCCCTTCTTATTGGCCTTCAAACGTGTGTTCACCGGGGCTTTATTAATCTATGGGTGCAATCGGACTCATTGGTCTTAGTTGGGGTTCTCCAGCGGCGCATTCAGTGCCCGTGGCAGATCTGAAGAGAAGTCCGGCAAATTTGGCGGTTAGTCGAGGACCCTGCCCGATTCTCACATTGCTTTAGAGAGGCTAATAAAGTTGCTGATTTATTATCCAATGTGGGCATATCTCACCCTGAGCAGCAAGTCAAGGTCTATGACGGCTTTCATATGCTCCCGAGGCTGGCTAGCGGGGCAATTAGACTGGATAGAATAGGAATGCCTTCTGTTCGGAAAATTAAACGTATGTGAGAGGAACCTATTATTTGTTGCAATGAAATAAAATTGTTTAAAAAAAAAACTATTTAGAACTTATCTCACTTTGTCTACATAAATCTAATAAAGTTAGATAAAGACGTTTTAGATTTTCCTTTAAGCATCTTAGACGTAATTAATTAAATATAAATTTTATATGACCACTACTTCAATTCTAATGGTTACTTTAGATTGGGTCCTGAATTTTAATACCCATGGTAACCCATAAAAATGGAGTAATTATATATATATAATTTATTTATTACACATTTACTAAATTTATACTATAGTTTAGCCCAACTTAAATTGCTTCCCCTTTTATTTAATTATTATTATTTTATTTATTATATTTTATTGTATATACATGTATATACATTTTTTTATTTATATTTTTTCCTTTGGGTGGGGCCCATGGTTGGCGACCCAAATTCTTCAATTCGGCCAACCATAATTTGCTCCATTGTCACCAGCAAGTGCTGGCGACATCCACTTATTCTTTTTTTTTTTTTTGTTCCTAGTCTTGGGTTGACCGCAAGGCCAACCCCTGGGGATTCTTTTCCCTGCGGCAGTGCCTAACCAAAACAGAGCAGCGGCGGCTGCCGCTGCTCCTCTCTTTTTTTTCTTTTCTATTTTTTTTTTCTTTTCTTCGACAGATTTGGGCCATCTATTCACCAAAGATCAAAATCTAACACCCTATTTCCACTAATCCAAATATGAATCCTTCTAAATTTCTTATAAGAACATATATATCTACATATATGTAACAACATTACATGTCCATAAATTTCCTAGAACAATTAATACATCTACTAAAACTTAAAAGAGAGGTTTTCTTGCGTGAACTCGAGATTTACAGGTTTAGGTGCCTAGTCGTCGGATCGATGGACGATGTTGCCTGTTTCTCCTTCTCTCCTCTCTGACGGCTCTTGTCTTTGACGGCTCTTGCTCTAGGGAGGCAGAGGAAAGAAAGGTAAGGTTGGCTTATTTTTTTTTCCATCTAGGGTTTCAATAAAACCCTAAACCTAGTACTACTTATATTAGTACCCCGTATCTCATCCTATAGTTACTTTATTTTATTTTCCCTTTTTACTTAGTAACTTTATTCTTTTAATTAGTTGAGAAAATAAAGTAACCTAATAATAAAATAAAAAATAAGGTAATAAAATTGGTGTCACAGTCGTGGGTTTCACAGTAATACATTAGCTTTATGTATTATGGGAAGTTTAGGTGAAGAAACTTGGGAAAAGATGGAATTTTGGGTTGAGACCGTAGGAAGAAACCTGCTGGAATTTTTCCAGCTTCATCCGAGAGCAAGAAACGATGAAGTATCAGTTTTCTTCTTGTGAATTTGGTTCTAAAATTTTGTATTAAGTTGTAGAATATTGTATAACACCTTAATTTCTTCATGCATGAAAGATTTGAAAATAAACTGAAAGGATTGTTGGAGAGATTTGTGCTAAAAAGCTGAGTTGCTGCCAAAAACTGTTCCAGCGTGACCGAGAGAGAGAATTAAACTTCAGATCAGCTTGTCCTTCGAATTCTGGCTGTAAATTTTTATATTGATGATCAAGATTATTCTGTGGCATGATAGCCATCTTTTACAAGTTGAGTTGGAGTTGAAAACTGAAGAAAATTATGGGAAAAATTACCGTATAGTAAACTGTTTTATTGCCGAATGTGGTAGTTAGCTGATGACAGAATTAGTTGTGGCTTTTGGGTTGAATAATTTGTTGAAACTAGATGCTATTTGTCTTGGTTTATGCTGGACTGAATGTACTTTAAGTATTTAGAGCTTTAAGCAAGTGAAAGAATAGAGTTTTTGCCGAAAGCTTGAAGTAACGTTACTAGTTCTGGTTGCTGTCCGAGAGAATGAAGCAGTTTGTGCTTCTGACCGTCCACTTTTGGCCTTGAAAACGCGAGAACTGGATGTCAATGTCTTCATAGGAAATATAGGTCTAGGTCTTAGCTTCGAAACTCTATAAAATTCGCCTCAATCCGATAAGCGTAGCTCCAGCTGTGATCAAAATATCAGAGGGTGGCAAAGCTGCCTTTCTTGTTGCTTTCCTCTTGTTTTCCGAATGTAACTTGCTTTGATGCTGGCCTTGAGGAAACCATATTTTGAGCAGCAATTCTTCTAATTTCCAACTTTGTAAGCTTACATAAATGATAGTTACGGTTGCCCTGAGATTTAACGACTATATCTAGTTCTACAAGTAGAGTTAAACTAAGGCAATTGAGAGGAAAACTCATGATAATTATATACATAAATACCTTCTAATCACTTAATCTTGTTTTCATGAATATTTTAGAGACTATAAAACTTGAGAGGACTAAAAATTTAATTTACAAACAACCTAGAGTTTAGTTAGTTTTAAAAAGGGAATATGGAATATCTATAAGTCATAATTAATATTGGATTGAGAAAATATATTGGTTTGAACGATTGTACAAGTTTGTAAACTTGAAGATAGGTATGTTTCATGGTTTAAAAATAATAAAGTTAATAAGTTTCGAAAATAAAAGGATGAATAAATATTAAGAATGTTAAATTTGTATTTATGGTCAAGCTTGATTTTAATAAGTTTAAATAAAAGAATAATAGGTGAAAATCTACAAATTGTAAATTTACCATGAAATTATATATTTATCTCAGGAAGTAACTGCGAGCCAGGAAACAAACCCGAGGCTCAAGAGTAAATTATTTGGATAATTGGTGAGTGTTTTCCGAATTTATGTGTTTAACTATTTATGTGTATATAAGTGAAATTATGTGACAAATGTGCTTATCATGAATTATTACTAAATGATTTCTTGTGAAGTGTATCTCAATTGTCCATTGCCTTCTAAGTCAAGAGTGTACTTTATCGCACTCGGTTTAGTTGAATTTGAAGGTCGATAATTGATTGAATGTTACTATAAGTGTGCATGAATGTAAGCCATATGTATGCCTCGCCGCATTGGCTGAACTGAGCCCCAAAACCCTCTGTTCAACGGACTATTCGAGCCAACAAAAGGCTTGGTCGGGTAGGACGATAGCTTTGGATAAATGTTTCGGTATACTCGAGTATTACCATGAGGTTGGGAGATTATTGAACTGATTACTGAATGTAGGGGATTGTTTATTGTTTTGGAGGACATAAGGAGGTGAATTGGCGGAATGTGTAATGATATTGAAATGAATGTACAATGACAGTGAAATGAGTGTCTCTTGACACTGAAATGAATGCTCAATGACATTGAAGTGGCTCTAATGCGAGCACCGTATCCTTTTAAAAGTGATTGTTTAGTGAAGTGTTTCCTCAATTGTTTAATGAAAGTGATTGTACAGTGAAATGTGCACTACTTGCTTAATTATACTGATTTAAATGTTTATTAAATGTTACTTGCTCGGCAAACTGTGACAGCCCCACATTCCCCTAAAGCGAACCAAAAGGGTTAGCGGACTGCCTACCCAGCTCTCGCCAGGACTAACGGTGCAGTTTAGAGCAGTCTATCGCGTTCCGGAACTTACAAACGCGCGTAAACAAGTCAAATGTCAAAATATAAAAAAATATAAAAAAATGAAATCCGGAGTCGGCCATGAATAGTAACCGATCCGTCAGAACCCAACCAAATATCAAGCAAACATTCACATCTTGAAACTTAGCATTTACAAGCCAAAGTGACATACAAAAGTATTCAAAAGTGGATACATGTCTGGTTTGCCAAATCAAAAGAGAAACGGTCCCAAAAGTACATTTAGGGTTTCAATAAATGAGCTATACAAAAGATATGTCCAACTAGCTCATTTCGGCAACCAATTATCAATTGCAGTCCAAAGGATTTATTTTCCTGTAAGGAAAACAAAAGGAATAGAGTGAGCTAATTGCCCAGTGATATAATACCACTCATGCAGCAAAGTTCACATAAACATAAAACTTTTCAGTTCAATTCACCAAAAGTAAGCAAAGGCACACATTAATGGTGGTGATAAAAGGATACGAGCGGCTCTCAAGAGCCCTTTTCCTCGTTTGCATTCTTGATCGAAGCTCATTGACCCTCCGTCAATGTTTAAGAGTAACCAACCGTAGACTCCACTTTACTTCCATTCCTTCCACCCAACATACCCCTACCGGGCCCGAACTCCAAACACTTGCACTGTGGTATTACTCGAGTATACCGGAATCGAGAGTCTCGCATACTACAAGATTCCCTATAACTTTACCCAAGGCTCATTAATTGTCACGACCAAGCCCTCGCCGGCTCGATTCAATCAACTACCAATGGGGTTGAGCTCAAAGATAACAATTGTAGTCGTTGGATACTCGTCCAGATGACACCAAGCCATGTACTTTCATTTCATGTAACATTTCGTATAACATTCCAATAACATGATAAACAATAAGTGAGAGTAATAAAGTACGCTCTCACTTCAATCAATTCACATTCAACGTATCAAGTTCAAGTATCAAAGCCATATAGTAACACACAAGTGAGTAGTACACTCACCAAGCTTGCAAATGAGGTTTCATGCACTTCCGTCAAAAGAACGTCGTGCACCAACGTCACGCCCTAAAACATGCAAACAAGTACAATGAGACTCGATAACGAGCCATAAACCAATGCCAAATACGACCCCAATAGGGTTCCAATAGCATATACAAGCATTAGGGAAAACCAGAAAATCCGGAAATGAAACTAGCTTTGACCCTGAAAAAAAACAGTTTTCGACCTCATTTTGCGGTAATGGCACCAAAGGTACTACGATTATCGGATGAAGGTGCAAGACC